TATATGTTTTTTTTTTTTAATACTGTATATGAACTTCTCCTTATATCAATGGACACTATAAATTTCTCTTATCCCTCTTATATTTACGTACCCTCAACCTAAGTTTGCTGTTACTACTACTAATAAGTACAAATTCTGTAAGTTTGCTTCATATTCATTCAGGCACTTTATTCTGTTTAATTTCCTTCCTTTTTCCTACTAAAAAAATTTCCAAATAAAGTTTTCATTCAATTAATCTTTTGCTTGTCATGGTTCATTTTTTTCTCCTTATTTGCAGTTCCACGTACTTTGGAGAATACAAGGGCTGAAATTGAATGACAATGAAGTGCCTTTTCATGGTCTGTGTGGTTTTGTTGCTTGTTTCATTCTCTGGTATATTTGCTCTCTTCTTTCCTTCTCCCTTCATTTATTTTCCTTTAGTTGTATTTGAGTTGAAGGAGAGTCATGACGTAACTGGTAAAGTTGACCTCATGTGACCAGGAGGTCACGGGTTTAAGCTGTGTAAACAACCTCTTGCAGAAACATAGGTTAAGTCTGGACCCTTGTGGTCCAGCTCTTTCCCGAACCTCGCACGTGGCGGAAACTTAGTGCACGGGCTGCACTTTTTAGTTGTGTTTGAGGTACATCCATTTGGTCTTTTCTTGCGTTTCACCTTTGCCGGAAAGAGTAATATTTCTCAACTCCCTGTCACTTCTGCAGCTCCGTGCTATCTTTTAATTTTAAGAAATTCTTTTTTTATTTTTTAATTCAGAAAAGATAAGTGAAGTTGGGAAATCTAAACTAAAGTTACTGCATTGATATACTAATTATTCTACTTCCATGCATGTACCCTTAGCTTCTATAGGGTTTTTTTGATTAATCTTTTGGAATTTATCCCTCTTGTAGTGTGATTTCCAACTCTATCTTGAATGTTCTAGGCTTGAAAATTATAAAGCAAGTGTTGTTATCTTTTTGAAGATAATTAAGGCACTTTGGATAAACATATAGGCAAAAGCTTTTGAACTTTATTAGGATAATAAAATATGCAGCTTTTCTATTTATAATTACCAATCCAATAACCAGGCGCAATGTTAATCTGCAGTGGCGAAGATAGAAATTTACTCAAGGGTATTTAAATTTGTAAGAAATGAAAAAAATCCCGACAAAGAGTGTTTACTATGTGTTATATACCTCTAAAACGTAATATTTTATCTATATACACAGATCACCGTACAGTACAATTTTTCGACGAAGGGTCAACTGACCATCCTCGTAACCATGTGGCTTTGCCTCTGTTAATCTGGGATTTATGTTTTACCAAGAAGGCGTAGTAACTTCCGAACATGAGTGACAGTACATTACTGCATTTTCCAACTCCACTTTTCTTTTATGAAGAAAACATATATTTATTCTACTGTTATGCATGCATGTATATCCCTAGTATTTTTTTGGTTCATCTTTTGAATTTTTTTCCCTCTTGGGGTTTGATCCCAACTCTATCTTGAATCTTTTAATGATGCAGTAATGCACATTAATCATGCATTGGAACTAGCTGAGAAACGTGGTGCTATTCAAGAAAGAACCCTAATTCCCAGGCAAAAATACACTGTCACTTCTGCTCGGAAATTACTACGCCTTCCTGGTAAGACATATATCCTCGATCAACATTAATTGTCCCTAGTTTGCATGCAACTTGGTTATAAATAAGCTATTTGGCTCCTAATATAATGTTCTACATGTTTAACTGCCTTATTAATTGTTCTTCCAACATTTGTACTCTGAGTCTTCTTCGTCAAAAAATACTAAAGGAAACAATCAAAATTAACCTTTTAAAGTTGATAAATACCAATCCTGTTATTTCTCAGCTTATGATTTTTATAAAGTAAATCAAACGAATATGACCTTTTTCAACCCTTATTACCTAGGCGAACAATTCACACATTGCATGTTACCGGAGGCTAATCCAGAATTTAAACCTCATGAGTTCAACTTTTAAGGGTTTTAGCATTGAACCTATTATATTTAAAATTATGGGTTCATATCTACTATTTTCGCAATTTTAGTGAATTTTTATTCTGCATCGAAAGTTATGATTTCAGTTGGACACGCTGGTAGAACACTACATCCGCTTCTGCATGTTGCATGAAATGTTTAAAAGATGTAAAACTTAGTAAACTTTACTAGAAAGATCAAATTCTTGCTGAAAAAAAGGAAATAAAGTTTTATTTATTACTATCATATACAACAACAACAACCACAGAAGTAAGGGGTCTGGGGAGGGTAGTGTGTACGCAGACCCTAGTCCTACCCCCATGGAATAGAGAGGTTGTTTCCAATTGACGCTCGACTCAAGAAAACAAAAGAGACAGAAAGAGCCTATGACTGTCATATAGTAGTTCAATTTTACTTGTAAAACTTGTATTGTTTGAGCACTTGAATTAGTAGCTTCATTGCTTGACTTCATCTTATTCTTGTCGCGAGCATTGAATAGATATTGGTGATGGTGATGGCACTGGCGATGATGGTACTGGTGATGACGGTGATGATAATGGTAATGGTGAAGGTGGGGATGATGGCGATGATCAAGGCGACGGCTCAGAAAATAGAATTGGTCCATCATCATGTTCAAAAGACAGCATCCAAGTAAACCAAGGTGACACAGCGCCACTTCCAAATGGCATTCCAACATACACAGTCATAATAGAAAATGCATGCTACTCAGGAGGAAGTTGCACTGTGTCCAACATTCACTTGAGTTGTGGCTGGTTTAGTTCAGCAAGACTCATAAACCCTAGAATTTTCAGAAGACTTAGTTATAATGACTGCCTTGTTAATGATGGAGAGCCTCTCAATCCTGGACAATCCCTCACTTTTCAATATGCTAATACTTTTAAATATCCTCTTTCTGTTTCTTCCATTGCATGTTAGATGTGTAGATGGCTTCTTTTGGGATCTTTTCTTGGGCTAAGATTAGACTGTGGGTATGTTATGCCCAAGAATAACTCAGTAGTAGTCTTTGTGTATGGTGTTACTAATATTTATCTTAGTTCTTGTAATTTAGTTAATGGCATCAATGTGAATAGTGTGAATTCCTAATTCTTGGGTCAAATCTTTTCTTCCATTTTGAAATCCAAATGTATACTGATGCAGATCTTGATTAAAAAACCAACTTGTGTTTGTTCTTAATTTTGGTGAAAATTTCTATGTTTCTTGCTATAAATTTTGATAGAAGTTGGATTTTAATCAGTATAATACTCGATTTGGTGTTAAGTCATTTATCTAAACTAGTTTTCAAAGAGCTTATTGTAACATATTATGTGGAGGATATACTACTCAAATACTGTTATGTAAGATGAACATAGTATATGTATATATGGGATAAAATAATAAAAAAAGTAAATCTTAAATATGTAACAAAAGAGTAGCTTTTTAGGAGCTCCATCTAATTTGAAAACAAACTCAATCTAGGATGTGTTTGGATTGACTTTTAAACGGATCAAATTAGCTTTTAAGTTTTTTTTCAGTGTTTGGCAAAGTCAAAAAATGTTTAAAATAAGTTAAAACTATTTAAAGTAAGCCAAAAGCAATAAGTTGGGCAACCCCAACTTATTACTTTTTGGCTTAAAAGCTATTTCTACTGAAAAGTCACTTTTTTAAGGCAATCCAAACGCTATTCAACTTATTCTTGGGTCAATCCAAACGCTATTCAACTTATTCTTGGGTCAAGTGATCATTTGAATGTATACATCTATTTTGATTTAGAATTTCCTTGACGGCTAGCCTACAACTACGCCTCAATCCAAGTAAATTGAGATCAGTTATATGAATCATCACAGTTTAATGTCGTTTATTTAGTCTTATTTCAAACAGAATTGCAAAAGAGCATTACGGTATAAAAACATTTCGCATTCACGCAGTATTCGGGGAAGGGCTACACCTAAGGGGTGTGATGTAGACAGCCTACTCTAATACAAGTACTAATGGCTGCTTCGACGGCTCAAACATGTAACCTATAGATTAGGCGGAAACAACTTTATCATTGCTCCAAGGTCCCTTCTTAAACAAAATTGCAAAATAAAATCAAATTCAATCCATCTAAACCTTGATTGGAAAAGATGATTTCAGCAAAGAGGGAAGCATTAGATACCAAAATATTAGTGGTGCTAGGGAAGGCAAATTCACATAGACAAATATGACCATATCAATAGTGAACTATGAAGAAACTATACTAAAATAGAATGCAACACTATGAGTTTGAAGGCAATATCTATTACTTGCTGAATTTAAGGACAAAGGTATATAATTTGCATTGGATTAAAAAAAGAAGTAGCCAGTGCACTAAGCTTCCACTATGCACGGGGTCCGGGGAAGGCCGGGCTACAAGGGTTTACCGTACACAGTCTTACTCAACATTTATACAAGACACTGTTTTCACGGCTCCAAACCGTAACTTTACCGATTCCACCAAAGCTTCCCTTCATAATTTGCATTGGATAAACAAGGAAATACCTATTTATACAGAAATAAACTGAAATCTAATAGTTATAATCATAAGCAAAATCAGTAATACCAACCATAGCTGATACCACTTGAGAAACAATATAAAAACTGCCTCCCATAATAACCAATATTAAAATTGCAGAAATTGGGTTCTTCAACAGCTCATAAATGGGTTCAAAAACAGCCCAAAGAACTCCAGTACTAACTGTCAATGCATAAATTGCATATCTCCTCATATTATCCCAAAATTCCTCCATTAATGGACCTTCTGGACCCAAAGCCAATGCCTTATTTTGATCATCAAATCCCATTAAAAACAACATTACCCCAACAGATACAGCTCCCAATACCAAAAGTTTTGAGCTTTTCTCATTTAAACCAGCTTCAGACTCAAAATTTTCAGTTCTTGAAATTTTCTTGGATTTGTGCAAAATTTGTAGAGCTATTGGTTTAACTAAGTTTCTTTTTTCTGCAGCTAGCTGGTGAATTTCTCTCTTCCCATATGGCAAATTTTGAGGTTTATTAAGGGGTGAATTGTGTTTGAGTTGGATGAGCAATGGAGGATTAGAGCGTTGGAAATGGAGTTGAAGTCTCATTTTTTGTTTTTTTGAGATAGAGCAATGAAAGGTTGTGGTAGTTTGTTTTAAATGTACTTATTATTATGCCTTATCTTCTTTCTCTTACCTTGAAAATGAGAAACAGATTGAGTTTGGGCCCATTGAATTGCAGGCCCAACTCTATATCACTCTCTTCAATATAAGCCCACATTGTCAAAAGGGACATGCAGTTTACCAAAATCTAGTTACAGTCAAACCTCTCTGTAATAGTTTCGTTTGTTCCAAATATTTTTGAATGTTATAGCGAAGTGTTGTTATAGAGAACATATATAATAACATAACATGAAAATTGATTCCGATAAAGCTTGACTTTTATAGAGAAGTGTGTCATATAAGGATGTTGTTATAGAGAAGTTTGATATGTTTGTTGTGTTCTTTTGTTTAACAATCTCGTATTCAGGAAATTACAATCAATGACTTTGAAAATGGATGGTCTTGATATTACCTCCTTTGCCTTATCGACAGACCTTTAAGGTCGAAAGTCAAAAGTATTGCCCATAGAACAAGCGAGGGGTAATACTTGTTAAACTATAAATCATGCCCACGGGGCAAGGAGATCGAAAAACCAATAGTGGCGTCGAAGTGTCGTAGTTTCATATCACCCTTTGCTATTGGGTATCAACTAGTTTGATTAAATTGAGGTTGCTATAAAGGAAGCCGTTCTCATGTTCAAATTTGAGATCTCTAATTAAGAGTAGAAGGATTTCATCCATTCTCGTTGAATTCTTAGCCGACTGTAGCAATTAAGGAAAGGAAAAAAAGGAGGAAAAGTACAAAGAAAATGAGATAGAAAAGAAGAAATACAAAGAGAAAATAGCATATGAAAAGGGAAAGAAACATTTTAGTGAGCATAGGAAGAAATCTATTTCCCTTCATATTTCTTTTTGTCAAATTAAGCAAAGGGGGAGAGAAAAGTTCCTTTATAAATTCCAATCCAAATTAGTTAATATTTTTGACATGAAGCTGCGAATGGAAATTTAAAAATCAGGTGCTAAGAGTACATCGAAATTTGTAAAATTACTCTTGGGTTTTTAAATATATTAATGCTTAAAAGAGGCTGAATAGAAAATGGAGGGAAAATTAAATATTTGAATTTCATTTGAGATGTCCTCGGGATATTGTCCCATATTGAAAGAGCAAGAGGTTTTTAATGGGTATATAAGCAGTAGCTCTTCTTTTAGCTCTTAAAGAGTTGAGAAGAAGGCAAGCCTCACGCCTTCGTCATCGTTTCGACTTCGGATTAATTTTTTGGACCAAATTTATTTATTGATAATAAATATTAACATAAATATTATTAAATATCCGTTTAATCATCCTCTTCAATTTTCCCTCTTTATTGTTGAGTAAATAGCCATTTATGTTATGGCATTTATGTTATGATTGTTTTGCAAAAATAGCCATTTTGAAGAGTTGCACCTCTTCATATTTCGGCCCAATATTGGCTATAAATATAAGTCTATCCTCTCAGATTTTCTATACGAATTTCTGAGTTCTCCTCCTTTCTTCTGCATATTTTTTACTTCAAAGAAAGCAATAGTAAGTGTGATTTGCTACCGAACTTTGTGTTCGCTGAAACACTGGGGTTTTAAGTACCACTACACCGGTGTGTAATTCGTTCTATTCTGGGAGGAAATAATCCATAATCTTGGGTACTAGGAAGGGATTAAATTTCTTAAGGAAACACTGTGAATTCAGTGGGCTCGGATTAACTTTTGTTTCGTTTATATTTCTGTTTATGTTATTTTATTTTCTCCGGAATTAGTTTACAAATACAATATAGTAACAACTACATACAAGAATTTAAGGTGAAAATAGCACGGGCTAGTCAGTTTTTAGACTGGTAATTGAAAAATAGCCAATGTTTGTAGAGTCATTTAAAAATATCCACTATTTTGCTGCAACACGAAAAATTCCAGCATGATATAATAGAGATTGGTGCACATGTGTATGAACTTCCAACATATTATGCTGGAACTCCAACATAATATGAGATTGGAGCACTTGTGTATGAACTTTCAACATATTATACTGGACCAATATATTATGTTGGAACTCCAGTATATTATGCTGGAAGTTCACATGAATACTTGAACTCCATTATATTATGCTGGAATATTTTCTGGATTTTAAATGTTCAGATTTGTCTTTACATAAAAAATGGCTAAATTTTAATTATTTTTAAAATATAATTATTTTTCATTTACCACTTATAAATCTGACTATTTTTAAATTTCACCCGAATTTAAGTACAATTGGATAAAAAAAAGGTGACAAATGGAGCAATTAAATTTAATCCTTTTATCTAGAAAGGTACTAGAAAAGATACCCCCCCCAAAAAAAAAAAAAGAATTGCACTGCTTACTTGAAAAATGACAAGTCAATCAAAATTTATTTGACCACAATTTTCTTAAACAAAATTTACTGTAATTGAGATTAGTACATGTAAAACCATATTTAAAAAGGATTTAAAAGTTTAGTGTTAAAATTAATCCATCTCCTTAATTTATGTGAAATTCTTTTCTTTTTAATCTGTCCTCAAGATAATATCATATTTTTATTTAAAAATAACTTAACTCTAAAATTTTATTTTACATGATTTACAGTCACAGAAGATAATTCTTTTTTCCAAAACTCAAAAGCTTCAGTTGGAGTAGTAGTCCATAGTTAAATTTTGTTTCTTCCTCCGGTTTGCTGCTCCCACATGTCACTGCGGCACTAAGGAATTTCAAGCCCCTGCAACCACTTGGCCATGGCTCTTCTCTTTTCCACCTCTATTTTTCTTCTTCTTTTTCTTCTTCTCCATTTCCTCTTTATTACTACTATTATTTTTCCTTAACCGTCACCGCTTGTTGAAGAAAAAAGCCCAACTCATCACCTTTCTCTGGCTTTTCCCCCAAAAAGATACAATCTTTTTGCTATTTTCAGGTCAGTTACTGAGTTACGTACTTACTTTTTTCCCCTCCTTGAATTCTGCCTTCTTTTTTTGGGTTCTTTTTTGTTTCTTGTTTCCATTTCCAACCCTAAGCTTATTTGTGTGTGTGATCACTTAATGTCTGGTCAATGCTGTTTCAATGTTGTATGTTTATGTTCTTGTATATGGTTTATCTTTTAAAATCAGCATTACCCATTTTGTTTCTCACGTGGGTTTTAGCTTCATTGTTGTTTTTCATTTGAAAAAAAAAAACCCTGTTCTTTGTATCTGATATTCTGTTGACAGCTTTCTGGAATTAAGGTTAGTTAATCTTTGAAACTAAGCCAAACCCTCTTTGTGCTTACTTGGGTTTCGTGGTTTTGATGCTGTTTTTCCGTTGTTTAGATGGTTGTCAGGAGCTAATCGTTGGAAAAACATGTTATTTGTATCTGATGTTTTTATTTGATAAACCAAGAAAACCCAAGGTCCAGTGGCGCAAGGTTTGAAACTCCAGTAGATAAAGAAAGTCCGCCCCTTTACCCTTCTCCACTTTGAATACCAGGCCTATGATATGCGCCTAACTCAAATATCACAAGTTGAGCTCTTACCGCTAAACCCCCGAGGGCTGGAAATACCTGTTCTTTGTATTTGGTGTTTTTAGTTACAAACTTTTTGTTTGTTTTAATAGGTGTAATGTTTTGCCACTTTTTGATCGGGTCCTAAATTGTGAAAGAGCTTAGTAGGATTATGCTTGCTCATGACTCTTTAGCCTGAAACGATTGTTTTTGTTTCTTGAAAAAAACATTGTTTATGTTTCTGGATGAGGGTGTTTAGGAAATGTGGTTGTTTTCGATTAATCCAAACTGTTTGTCCTCTGTGTAAATCAGGATGGCTGCAGATAATCATGTTTTTGTTGCGTGGGAAGAGCGGGTTATTTCTCAAGAGAAGGGCCATCGTGTTGTGCACTACTACTTGAAGGGTTTCTCGGGGGAGTCAATCCTTGCTGTGGTGGGTACTGAAAGAAGTATAAGGCACATAACATATGTTGTCTCAGAGGATTATTTGGATGCTTTTGGGCATACAAGAACTATAAATTCTGGAACAAAGTGGCGTACAAGACGAGAGGTAGTGGAATGGCTGACGTTTTTGGTTTCAAAGCGTCGCCAGTCATCACCTATTTCAAGTATGTATAATCATGTTGCTGTCTAAGATTTCAGTTACATGAGATTTACAGTATTATTGGCATAAATGTACATTGAATTGCTCTAGTTTCTGGTATTTAGCATTTTCGGAAGAAGTTGACAATAGATCATTGGCTGCTGGTTACACCTGATCAATGCAGAGAAGGCAGATGTTTTATGATCATGTTTAAAAGCAAAAAGTTCTGCGAATGTCCAAACTATCTCCTTGATGGGTTAATCTCAGTCTCACTTCTTGTGAACTTTTGGTTTGCTACAGTGCTTTGCTAATTAATTCGTAGATGAAAAATCCTTTTTTGATGAATCGTAGATGAAATATATTATGCTTTGACAGGAAAGAAACTGAATTATGTCTCAATTATTGTTTCCATGAAGAAGCCTCCTCCCGAGGGTTATTGGGGAGGGAGCAGAGAGAGATGGCTGAACAACATTTCCGGTTCCTTTTTTATTTTGGGATTTTTGTTCTGGACTTCAGTTTTCCAGGCACAAACTGAATTTTCAATTTACTTGTGTATCTAGATTTAACCTAGAGTGGTGGAATGATGGTAGTTCTTTGTATCCCAGGGATGGATGATCCTTGTTTGAAGAATATATGGGAACGTATCTTCCTAAGTAACTACCTCATTATGCTTTTTTGCAAGGAAAGTATACTTTGTGCTCCTTGTTCTGACCACAGTCGCCTGTGTGTTGTTGTACTTTCAAATGTGCAGCACACAAGTTTGTGGTTTAGTATAATACTTTGAGAACGAGGCTTTTCTTCGGCTGATTTGAACTTTACAAGTTGTGGTGATAATAGGAGAAATAATTTGATAAATAAGGTTACACCCGTCCAGCAACATGATGGGTCATTCGATCCTAAAGCCTAAAGTACAACGTGATTTAAACTTCAACTCCCCCGTTTAATTGTTGAAGCAC